ATTCACGGCAGACTCACATGGAACCTCGCCATCCCTGGGGGGCTGCGATCTGTGAAATTGTCGCCACTTACGAGGCCTGCTGGGGGGCCCGGCACAGTGGGTACTCACGGCAGACTCAAATGGTACCTCGCCGTCCCTGGGGGGCTGCGATCTGCGAAACGGTCGCCACTTTCGAGGCCTGCTGGGGGGCCCAGCACAGTGGGTACTCACGGCAGACTCAAATGGTACCTGGCCACCCCTGGGGGGCTGCGATCTGCGAAACTGTCGCCACTTTCGAGGCCTGCTGGGGGGCCCAGCACAGTGGGTACTCACGGCAGACTCACATGGTACCTCGCCATCCCTGTGGGGCTGCGATCTGTGAAACTGTCGCCACTTTCGATGCCTGCTGGGGGGCCCAGCACAGTGGGTACCCACGGCAGACTCAAATGTGACCTCGCCATCCGTGGGGGGCTGCGATCTGTGAAACTGCCGCCACATTCGAGGCCTGCTGGGGGGCCCAGCACAGTGGGTACTCACGGCAGACTCAAATGGGACTTCGCCATCCTTGGGGGGCTGCGATTTGTGAAACTGCCGCCACGTTCGAGGCCTGCTGGGGGGCCCAGCACAGTGGGTACTCACGGCAGATTCAAATGGGACCTCGCCATCTTTGGGGGGGCTGCGATTTGCGAAGTTGTCGCCACTTGAGAGGCCTGCTGGGGGGCCGAGCACAGTGGGTATTCACCGCAGACTCAAATGGTACCTCGCCATCCCTGGGGGGCTGCGATCTGTGAAACTGCCGCCACTTTCGAGGCCTGCTGGGAGGGCCCAGCACAGTGGGTACTCACGGCAGATTCAAATGGGACCTCGCCATCCCTGGGGGGCTGCGATCTGTGAAACTGTCGCCACTTTCGAGGCCTTTTGGGGGGCCCAGCGCAGTGGGTACTCACGGCAGACTCACATGGAACCTCGCCATCCCTGGGGGGCTGCGATCTGTGAAATTGTCGCCACTTCCGAGGCCTGCTGGGGGGCCCAGCGCAGTGGGTACTCACGGCAGACTCAAATGGGACCTCGCCATCCCTGGGGGCTGCGATCTGTGAAACTGCCGCCACGTTCGAGGCCTGCTGGGGGGCCCAGCGCAGTGGGTGCTCACGGCAGATTCAAATGGGACCTCGCCATCTTTGGGGGGGCTGCGATTTGCGAAGTTGTCGCCATTTGAGAGGCCTGCTGGGGGGCCGAGCACAGTGGGTACTCACGGCAGACTCAAATGGTACCTCGCCATCCCTGGGGGGCTGCGATCTGTGAAACTTTCGCCACTTTCGAGGCCTGCTGGGGGGCCCAGCACAGTGGGTACTCACGGCAGATTCAAATGGGACCTCGCCATCCCTGGGGGGCTGCGATCTGTGAAACTGTCGCCACTTTCGAGGCCTGCTGGGGGGCCCAGCACAGTTGGCACTCACGGCAGACTCACATGGTACCTCGCCATCCCTGGGGGGGCTGCGATTTGCGAAACTGCCGCCACTTTCGAGGCCTGCTGGGGGTGCCCAGCACAGTGGGTACTCACGGCAAGCTCAAATGGGACCTCGATCTGTGAAACTGTCGCCACTTTCGATGCCTGCTGGGGGGCCTAGCACAGTGGGTACTCACGGCAGACTCAAATGTGACCTCGCCATCCTTGGGGGGCTGCGATCTGTGAAACTGTCGCCACTTTCGAGGCCTGCTGGGGGGCCCAGCACAGTGGGTACCCATCGCAGACTCAAATGGGACCTCGCCATCCCTGGGGGGCTGCGTTCTGTGAAACTGTCGCCAGTTTCGAGGCCTACTGGGGGGGCCAGCGCAGTGGGTACCCACACGCAGATTCAACTTAGACCTCGCCATCCCTGGGGGGGCTGCGATTTGTGAAAGGGTCGCCACTTTCGAGGGCTGCTGAGGGGCACAGCACAGTGGGTACTCACCGCTGACTCAAATTGGACCTCGCCATCCCTGGGGGGCTGCGATCTGTGAAACTGTCGCCACTTTCGAGGCCTGCTGTGGGGCCCAGCGCAGTGGGTACTCACCGCATATTCAAATTGGACCTCGCCATCCCTGGGGGGCTGCGATCTGTGAAACTGTCGCCACTTTGGAGGGCTGCTGAGGGGCCCAGCACAGTGGGCACCTACCGCAGATTCAGATTAGACCTCGCCATCCTTGGAGGGCTGCGATCTGTTTAACTGTCGCCACTTTCGAGGGCTGCTGAGGGGCCCACACAGTGGGTACTCACCGCATATTCAGATTAGACCTCGCCATCCCTGGGGGGGCTGCGATTTGTGAACCTGTCGCCACTTTCGAGGGCTGCTGAGGGGCACAGCACAGTGGGTACTCACCGCTGACTCAAATTGGACCTCGCCATCCCTGGGGGGCTGCGATCTGTGAAACTGTCGCCACTTTCGAGGCCTGCTGTGGGGCCCAGCGCAGTGGGTACTCACCGCATATTCAAATTGAACCTCGCCATCCCTGGGGGGCTGCGATCTGTGAAACTGTCGCCACTTTCGAGGCCTGCTGGGGGGCCCAGCACAGTGGGTACCCCCACGGCAGACTCAAATGGGACCTCGCCATCCCTGGGGGGCTGCGATCTGTGAAACTATCGCCACTTTCGAGGCCTGCTGGGGGGCCCAGCACAGTGACGCCACACGCAGATTCAAATTAATACTCGCCATTCCTGGGGGGCTGCGATCTGCGAAACTGTCGCCACTTTCGAGGCCTGCTTGCGGGGCCCAGCACAGTGACGCCACACGCAGATTCAAATGGGACCTCGCCATCCCTGGGGGGCTGCGATCTGCGAAACTGTCGCCACTTTCGAGGCCTGCTTGCGGGGCCCAGCACAGTGACGCCTCTCAACTAGCTTACACATCAAGTTGATTGTCCATGCAAGTTTCGGCCAACTCTTCGTTTCCATTGATACAAATGGGTTGGGTACGTCACATGGTAATTTTTTTAGTCCGGATGGGAGGCCCGGATTGGGTCGCTATCGGCCGGAATACGAGGTAGGTGGGGGTATTTAATCATAAGGAACAAGGATGGGGGTGTAGGGGGATGGGTGTGGGAGGGGGGAGGGGGGGGGGCGCGGGTGCGTGTGTGTGGGCAGGGGGGGGGGGCGGGGGGAAGGGGGGGGAGAGGGGGCGTGGGGGGGTGGGGGGGGGAAGATGGAGGGGTGTGGGGGGAGGGGTGAGGGGGTAGGGGGGTGGGGGAATGGGGGGGGGCAGGGTGGGGAGGTGGGGGGGTGGCGGGGTGGGGGGGTGGGAGGGCGGGGGGCGGGGGGGGGGGGGTGGAGTGGGGTGGGGTGGGGTAGGGGGGGGGAGGGGGGGAGGGGGGAGGGGAAAGGGGAGGGTGCCTGTCCATCGCCAACCACACAGGGCAAGATGCGGGGGTGGGGTGGGGTGGGAAAGACAGCAGGTTTAACAGTTTTTTGCTGTGTTTGCAGTCCCTTCGAGCCATGTTTGCAGGTGGTGTTGGGGAGCCACTGGAATGGTGTTGCAGCCCCTTCGATCATGGATTGGTGCGTGTCAAGAGAGAGCCACTGGAAAGCCCTCAACAGCGGTCCAGCGGTAGTCCGTAGACCACAGGCTGCGGTGCAGGGGCTGGCCAGGCCCGATTCTGTCAAGAGGATCTGCCTCCGATCGAGCGAGTGCCTCCGACTCGCATGATGCAGCGCTGCCCTCGTTGATGCAGCGCTCGCCGAGCTGAGCTGTTCCCCGAGCGTTCGAGGAACAGGCAGAGGCACGAGCATGCTTTGGTTCCCGTTGTCAATCCGAGCCACTCGGGTGACGAGCGACAGGCTTTTGCGGACCAGGGAGGATGAATATCATCACTTCCAAAGTCAATTACGCAGTGCGATGTAGGACTATTCCTTTGCTTTCGGATGCAACAGAAAAAAAAACAATCCACCAGGCGGACCCGAACTCCCCCAAAGTTACCTGGGGCCCTGAAAAGACTCCAACACTGCCCTCCAAGAGTCTTCCAAAAGAGGAAGCCGAATCAGCAGCAATGACACGCAGGCAGGAGGGGGAGACATCGGAAGCCGCACATTTCTCTTGGGGATTGGCGTACTGGCGCAAGCCTTCTGAGTCGAGCCGTGACGGTGTGTCCGCGCATGGTTGTACGTCTGTTGGTTGCGGAGGATCGGCGTCGAAGGGCATGCTCCGCGTCTGGCCAGGTTGCCGAGGTGATGGGCTGCCGGCGGACGTGGGAGATGGGACGTCGACAAAATTGGACGTACATCGGGGAGACGTAAGAGTCGAATTCGCCGGAACTCGGGTTTGCCTACGTTTTTGGCGTGCCCGTTCTGAATTTGGACGGTCCAGTTTCCATGGGCTGTCTACAGCGGGAGTTCGCGTCAAATCTCAGGCTGGGTCTCGCCATTTCCCTGAGGGCCCCGCCAGGCCAACCCGAGCCCCCCTAACCCAAGTCCTGCGTCTCCCCAATTATAAAGATCAGCAGGGCGACGCGGCGAAAAGCCAAGGCGTAGACGTCCTCCGAAAACGAGAGCGAGTCAGGCCCAGGGCAAGAGGACAGGAGCTGCAGCCACCCCATATGATTGGCTGGTCCACCACGGTGGGGCATCATATTAAGGATCTGCAGCGTCGCTAACATCATCATCCTCACCGTCGTTAGCATCATCACCGTCATCGCGCAACCAGCAGTTGTCATCATCGTCGCCACCATCATCATGATCACCATCGCCATCATCGTTATCACCATCATTGTCATCATCATCATCACCATCAGCATCATTATCATCATCATCATCCACAGCGGTTTCGGCTCTCGGACGCGAGTAGCTCGCTTTTGCTTTTCGCGCCCCCCCCCAAACCACCAGCAGCCGCCATGGGCAAGAGGGCAGGTGACGCGGGGACCCCGTCGCCTGCGAAGAAGGCGGCGGCCGCGGCGGTCTCACCAGCCGCTGCCTTAGGCGCGCCGCCCGCCGCTGCCTCTGGCGCGCCGCCCGCCGCTGCTCTGGCGCGCCGCCGGCCCTGTGCATCGCGCAGCTCCTCGAGACGGACCACGCGTCGATGCAGCAGGGTCACTTCAAGGAGTGGGTGCGCCAAGTGAAGCACCACGTCGACCATAGTTTGCTCAGCTTCCTGGGGCAGCGCAAGCGCGAGGTGTCCTTCGCGGTGCCCGCCAAGTGTTCTTTGATTCCGCCGTTGGCCATCACTGATGCTGCCTCTGGCGCAGACCTCAGTTCGTTTCGCGAGGTCATGGACTACGACAACCTGGTTGCGAGCTTCTCCCGCACCAAGGAGTACGAGGCAGCGGGGGCGGTGTGGATGTTGGACCCGATGTGCTCGGACATCGACGACGTCACCGTCAGCCAGCTCGAGGGTGCCATGGGCATGCGGTCGGAGGAGGCGTACTCCCTCTCCTCCAAACACGCGCCCTCGCGGCACCTCTCCTTCGACGCGCCTATCCCCGCCTTGGTGGTCGACGCCAAGGTCGCCCAGCGGCTTGAGCCTAACAAGCCTGGAGTTTGCTTGACAGAGGCGCTGGCCGCGCTCGCGGGGCGCGCGGCGGTCATCACGCGGCATGCTGCTATGAGCGAGGTGCTCCAGCAGTCCAACGAAGACCGCGTGTGGCATCTGTTCAATGCCGCGTTGTCCGTGCCCATCAGGATGCGCTTGCTGCCTGATGGCGACGCGACCCACTTGGCCGCTCTGGCATTTTCAGAGAAGATGTTCTCTGCGTATGTTGCCTCTGGCGCTGAGTCCTTCTGGCGGTTCGCAGAAAAACGCGCCGCTTGACCAACGCGGAGAACTGTTTCGCCAAACAGGAACCAGTGTCGAAGCTTGAGGCCGCGCTGAAGGCCTACGGCCTCCAGTTCAAAGGAAAAGCGCGCACCGCTGCAACCGCCGCGGCGCTGAAAGGTCTGAGCCCTTTCGTCCTCGACGGAGCCTGCAGTTCGGCTTTCGCGCTGGCCGAAGTGCATTTTCCAGAGCTTCGCGACCCTGCGCTTCTCGTGAGGATCGGCTTCGCCTGCTCCACGAGGGCCGGTTCTGACGCCAAGGCCAAGAAATTGCTCGTTTTCATCATGAGCAGTTTCCGTGTGGCCCGCTTGGCGGGCGACGTCCCGAAGGACGAGAAACTGGTCGCGAGCCGGGTCGTCGGGCGCGATAGGAAGACGCCAGGGATGCCCCGCGCGCCCCCCAAGAAAAACGAGCTCGTCGAGTACATCTTCCACGAGGCGTTTCTCGTGAACAAGGAAGTGGGGAACGACGTGGCGGCATTTAAGACGCCTCTCCACATCCTCCAGAAGTTCGCTGCCTCTGGCGCGGATGGACTCGTGGCTTCGCGCCGCGCGTCCGACTCAGGCGGCGGCGCCGACGGGATGGAGACGTAGTTTGCGCCCCCCGTGGCTAAGCATCGGAACGCCGTGGATGTCAAGACGAAGGCGATGATCGACGTCGCGTGGCCTATGTGGTCGAGCGCTTTCGACGACGAAATTGCCGAGCTTGCCCAGCAGGAGTTGCAGAACCGCACCACTGGGTTCGTCTGGCACACGTACCTCACCGACGAGACCAGCCAGGGCGTTGGTGCCAAGTACCGCGCCTTCGTGGCCGCGCACACGGGAGGGCCGATCCCCGCCGACCCCGATCTGGATGCAAATCTCGGCTTGTTGGGGGTGTCCGAGCTCGGGGACGAGCAAAAGGCAGAGCTCCAGAAGCTCCAGGAGCAGCTCAAGCAGCTCCGCAGGAAAACTGCGAAGCTCGTCACCCAGAGGGTCGCCCAGCGCAAGAATCAAGCGATTCCCGGAACAATTAATCTACGTGTAGGAAATGGTTGTGTTAACTGATCATCTTGCGCCGGCGCAAGAATTGAGCTAACCATATATGTATATATAACCATATCATATCATACGTTTAGACGTGTTATGTTAGTATGTAGCAATGTAAACATAAACGTGTATGCGCATGTACATGTTTGTATACATGTATTACATACGTGAGAGAGAGGGACATGGACAACGAACCACATAAGGCGTCTGTGCGCGACCACCGTGCCTGGCCAGGGCTATATACCTAGGCGCCAGGATGGCAGACCTCCAGGACCTCATCCAGGATGTCGCACGCGCCATGCCAGCTCCCCAGGTGGCCCTGGCCAAGCATGGTGGTTGCGTATAGCCGCCTGCTGCGCACCCCGATCGCAATAATCCCCCTTGCAACCCTGGGACGACACAAGCGCGAACCCCTCGAACCCCTCGAAGCAACGCCAGCGATCGAGCTTGCAACCATGCCCGAAGGGGAGGGAAAGGAAGAGGCGGGATCGGGGCGCGGTGAGGGATCGAGGGGATGAGGCAAGATCGGGACGATCGAAATGGGTATGAAAAAAATCGGGCACAACGACCAGCAGCATGTCTGGTTCATTTTGGACAGGACTCGCTGGTGTCGCCGCGGCATGGAGACCAGACGGCCGCCCTATCCAACAGCGGCAGGACAACATTTGTTGTTGGACATTGTACTCGTTTTTTTCGTACGCACTTCGGGCGTACAGGATGAGGATGCACGCGGGCTGTTTGCGCACGTCGGTGCTCGCGGTCGATCTAGACTGCAGCGCGCGTCTTGACCTCTACCTTCAGCTGCTTCGCCTCGTCGACCACTTTTGCGATGCCCTGCAGCGGGGCGCGGGGATGATGACGACCGCGATGGCGAGGGGGGGAGGAGGGGGCGAGGCGGAGGCGAGGAGCTCGAGAAGGAGAGGAGGAGCAAAGGGGGCGCAGAGAAAAGATCGAATTGGGGCACCAATCGGGGAGACTGCATGACGTGGAGGACGGGTGGGTCGAGAGAGAAAATTAGATGGACAAGGGCGGGTTACCATCACCATCATCATCACCACCATCACCATCATCAGCATCATCACCAACATCAGCACCAGCATCATCGTCATCATCAGCATCATCATCATCATCATCGTCGACATCATCATCAGCATCAGCAGCATCAGCATCACCATCATCGTCCTCATCCCCGTCCTCCTCATCACCACCAGCACCACCACCATCCTCAGCACCCGCGCCCTGACCCTCAAGAGTCCCCATGCGCCCCCGCAAGCCTCGCAGAAACGCTTCGGGTAGTGGCCAGTCCAGCGGGACCAGGGGTCGTCGCCCGTCTCTGCTTTAATCTTCCTGAACTTCTCGAACAGCTCGCCCTTGGAGGCAAAGATGGATGGGGGGGGAGAGAGGGATAGCGAGAGAGAGAGAGAGAGCTCTAGAGAGAACGAGAACGAGAGAGAGCGGGGGAGAGAGAGCGAGCGATATAGATAGAGAGATCGACAGAGAGAGAGAGAGAGAGAGAGAGAAAAAAAAAAAAGCACAAAACCATATGACAGAGAGTGGGGGAGAGGGAGATCGGGAGAGAGATAACAGAGGGAAGGGATAGTGATGCGATATAAGAACGAGGGAAACATATATATAGAGAGAGAAGGGGTGAGAGAGAGAGATGCGTTGGCACGCAGACCAGCAATTCGAAGTCCACGCGTCCACCACGTGATCGTCGTCGACACCACGCGGTCAGCCCATTCGAAAACGCGCTGAGCCACGCGGGACAGGACCGCCACGATCGGACAACATGTTCATATAGTGTCGGCATCGATGTAATACACATGCGGGCCATGCCATGACATGGCGGAGGGAGTCAACCGAGGCAGAAGCCGCGCTGCGACCTACAATGTCCGATCAGTTAGGCAACGAAAAGAGGTAGCGGAAAAAATGCGTCCACGTTCTTGTGCAAGTGCACTTGGGCGCTGTGCTGGATCTCAGGGTTGACCATCAGCTTCGAGGGCTTCTCCTTCCGCTCGCCGCTCACGTCGCAGAAATCGGTGAGCGAGAGTGGAGGGGGGTGCGCGAGCGACTGGCAAACCGACGCGAGCGGAAACGCGAGCGACATCACGTGGATAAGAGCCGATACCATCTCCCAACGCACCCAGTTTCCCCAAGAGGCGTTGAGACGTTGGAAGGATAAGGGGGAACTATAGTACGATGGGGAGGGGGCGAGAGAGAGAGAGAGAGAGATAGAGAGAGAGAGAGGGAGAGCGGGCCAGGTATCTATATGGAGCGGGCGAGGCGTTGAGCGAGTCAGAGCGAGAGCGAGAATATAGAGGCACCGGGGGGTGATCGAGAGTGAGAGACCGAGTTCTATAGAGAGAGGCATTATATAGCGAGACTGCATAGAGGGAGAGCTGGGAGTTGAATGAGAGCGGGGGGAGAGATCAGCGAGAAAGAGAGAGAGAGAGGGAGGGAGGGAGAGAGAGAGAGAGAGAGAGAGAGCGAGACAGGGGCCGTGTGATATAGGGGAGAGCGCGAGGGGGAGAGACGCCAGAAATGGGTAGAGACGTTGGCGCGGGGCCCGAACAATAAATACAGTCCTGGTAGATTCGTGATGATCTGCACGAAGCCCATGGATGCGAGCATGTTGACCTGAGGGGCATCGGGCGGAGGGATGGAGGCGGGGTGGGGTGAGGATGACTGCCCCCGTCCCTCTCACACCTCGGCCCCCTCGATCGAGATATACGATCGTGTTCTATATACGACTGGAGGCAGGGGGCGGGTGGGCGCGCCACACATCGGGCCCTGGCGGCCTGTTCAGGGTGCGCATAGAATTCAGAGCCAACGGCCTCGTCGAATATGCAGTGGACACCCCGAGCGTTGCAGGTCATCGCGATGCTCGAGGTAAGCTGTAGAGATCTGTATACCACGCCGTATATACATGTAATCGGGCGCTCGAGTGCATATGCGCATGAGCTAGAGATCTGTCGCTCTCTCTCTCTGTTTATCTGTCCCCCTAGCTTGACTATCTCTCTCTCTCTCTCGATACATATATATATATATATGTCGCTTGTCGTATCGTATTTCGAGTGCGTCTTATCTCTCCCCCATCCCTCTCCCTCTCTCGGAGGAGGAGGAGGAGGTCCCTGCGCCTATAGAGCATGAGCTCATGAGCGGTCGATCTCTCGATCCATGGGGCGAACGACGCAGGTAAAGCGAATCCTCAGCGATAAAGTTGGCGTCGTCCACCTGCTCATCTGACATGCTGCCCCAGTACCGAAAGGGTTGGTCACCTTCGCGCACAGCTCTGAGCTGCTTGGATCGATCGGTCACCACCCGCCCCCATCCCTCATCCAGCCTTCATGCCAAACGAAATGTACGTTGGTCACCCGTCATGGTTGAGTTCGCCCCCCCTCTACCTTCGATCCGATGCCTCACCCAGCCGCGTCCCCAGCATGGTTGATTGATCCAGCAGGTTCCACCAGGTTTGAGGCGTAGCACGTGGAGTCCTATGGGCATGAACAATCCCCGCATCCCGCATATCAGCCCTCAAACACTCACCCCGATCGATCTGGCGTGGATCGGCTGGGTGGGGGTGGGATCGGGGCGAAGGCGAACGCCAAATTTGACAGAAAACCGTCCCAGCTGGAAGATCCCCAGGCCCGTGCAGATGTTCTCCTCGGGGCTGCGCAAGACGTCGTACTCCTGCGCGGTGTTGCCAACCTTGCAGGACACCCTCCAAACATCCTCCTCGTGGGCGATCGTGTTCAGGAGGCGAGCTCGAGCTCGTCCCCTGAGCACTAGGACATCCTCGAGGCATCATCCTTATAGGATGATGCATCGAGGCGAGATCCTCGATACCTGATCAGGTATCTGTATCTGGTCACGTGGCGAGGAGGGGGTTGAGGAGGAGCTTTGACGGGATCACGCCTTTCTCACCGTTGCGGAAGCCCTGCCATGCCCCGCGAAGATCTCCAAAAAATCGAGGTCGCGCTTCACGTGTTTGATGTGCTTCTCTACGCTGTACCACACGCGGAGACGTTCTTCCTATAGAGCGGGGGGGCCCGCGGGGCGGGATGGATCTGTCTGGGCGTACACCTCGTTGCGCGTCATGTTGCGATGCTCACGATCGCCGTCAACACATCATCGATGCATGGTCATCACCGCGCATCACATCATCACCAGCATCACAATCTTCAGCATCATATAATCAGCATCACCAGCATCATCAACATCAGCATCATCAGCATCACCCACCATCACCATCATAGTCACCGGGTGCATTCAACATCAGCAAACGTCAACATCACATCGCTAGCGGTCGAATCCGCTCCCGTGATCAGCGTTTTGTCCTCGCTCGATCGCGCTCTCTCTCTCTCTCCCTCTCGGTCTCTCGCCCTCTGTCGATCATTATTCGTTTCTGGTTACTCGCTCTCGCTCTCCCTGTTATTTGCTTGTTGTTTGTTATACCGATGTGTCTCTCTCTATCCCCCCATCCTCCTCCCTGCCCCCCATCCCCTCTCTCTATCGTGCGTTCTTTCTGTCTTTCTTTCTCTCTCTCTCTCTCTCTGAGCTCCCTC